ATTAGAGCGGCTCACAAATAACACAAACCAACTCTCATAGAGAGTGGAACACAGACTAAACCCTAATACTTTTACATGCTATAACCGTACAAACTTTAGGTTAATAACCTTATATTTATAACCCTTTTCCCAACTGGATTTGGGCTTCAAATCGCAGCATATCAGCTGCTACAAATTTGCAGAAACTTCTGCATAAAGATAGGTCTTCAATTATAACCTTCCTAATTTATCTTCATAATTAGAAAGTGAATATTCTTCTTGATTTCAACTTGAATCTTCCAGACCTTAAAATCACTGCCACATAGAATAGCATAATACTCCCAGAATATTCTACATTTGTTGGAACTTAACTCAATCTAACTGTCCATCCCAAACAGTTACGATGTTGAATGACTCTTCATAGGACATCTAGTCCGACATGTTGCTTCAGTTGATGAAAATCTCAACTCAACATGTTTCTTCATAAAATATGACTTCTTGTTCAACCTACTTTTCTTAGCAAGTTAACAGATCCTATTTAATATATTGCTGCTATATTTGTTTTACTAAAATTAATGCCAACCATAAAATAGAGAACTAACATTACGTTCTTGTAATTTACTGAACAATGTTTCATACACCATTTTAGAAAGACTCCTATTTTTTGATATTTTCGTCACCTTCAGTTGCCATGCCTTTATTAAAGATCTAGGACCTTTAGATTCAACTCACCATTTCTAAAAGATTTTTCAAGAGCCATCAAGTGATTTGTTAAGTGAACAAATCTCTTTTGCAAATAGAGAATTGATTCAATGGGTTGCATTATAAACATTTCATATTCTTGTGATAAATTGTTTAATTTAGATCTTTTTACCTTTATCATGCGGAATGGATGCTATTATCCTAGTAGAAATGGAGGAGCTAAGCTGGAGAACAACAAATCCATTGCCAGCAGAAAGCAATAGAAAATATATAAGAGAGTAAATCAACCTTTCAGAAGAAAAAATAATGGTAGCCACCTTCATCAGTGCCATTGTTAAACAAAATATGACTTTCAAGTACAACCGTTATGTCCGACCCCGAGAATTCCACAATGTGGATTTAGTGCTTTGGAGGGAAGACATGGAAAAGAAAAATGTGTGAGATGGAAACCTAGATGCTAATTGAGAAGGCCCCTACTGCATGTAAGCTAGCACAAATATGAGCATATCTATTAGAATCCCTTGAAGGGGAGCAAATACCTAGGACATGGAATGTCGCTAAGATTAGGCAGATATTAAAAACATAAATTATTGTCATTAATGTGTACTCGATACAAACCTAATGCATTATTGCATATATATATGCCTTAAAATGTATTCCACATGTTTCTGCATATCCGATACAGTCTAAATGCATTATTGCATATTTGATACGATTTAAAATGCACTACATGCTTCGATGCGTAGGTGGCACACCACTTCCCCATTTGAATCTAGCCAATCCAATTGCGTTAAGTGGAATTTCTCAGAGAAGTACACTTTGATCCAAGCCATACCTCGGGGTTAGAGACGGGGATCCTACCCTTGGATAGGGAACGACCCCCTCGATGCAAAATGCAGTTCAAAGGTACGACCACATCTCAATGGATCTAAGCCTCACTATTTGGAAAAGTGGCATCCAGAAATGTTAACTACAATGTACCGACTCCACAAAAAATTAGAATAAAACTAACGACAAAACAAAATTCATTTGATATATCAAAATTGCAAGTTACACAAGGATCTGTGCCCCACTATTGGGCAAAGTGGCATCCGTAAATGTTAACTACAATGTACCAACACCACAATCCAATTAGAATAAAACTAACGATGAAACAAAATTCATTTGATATATCAAAATTGCAAGTTACACCAGGATCATATTAAAGATAATGAATCGTGAAAAGAACTAAGGCCCGACACTAAGAGCTCCAGCTGTCTAAAAACATTACAAAAGACAACTTCTTTTAGGTCATCATCAGAAATATTTTACAGCTGGTTACTCAAGATGACCCGTTCTTCTTGGAGGTCCCCTAGGTCCTTAGTATGTCAGATTTCCTTCTCCTTAAGCTCTAATATGAGGCTCTGGATCACGGGAGACAAAACTCACACTCAAGTTCTTTCTACATAACACCTCGGTCCTTCTCTTCGAGTAGCTTCTCAAGTTCTATTATGCGACCAAGTAAGGTATATGGAGACTCATATTGTTTCACTTCATCCAAAAAAGAATAAACTATTTTCAAGTGATTATGAAATGTGGAACCCCCCTCTCGAAGCAAACCACATTAGCCTCGGTCAGATCATAGTGATCCCTCGAATCCTTGGCCTTTCGATAAGAGGAACGAGGAAACAGAAGATCTGTATGACCGACTACAAGCTGATTCAGGAGGGGAACATCCCTGAGGACTTGATAAATTGATTCTGCCAACAAAGTGGATTTTCCAACAGGGGAGAGCCGACAAATCTACTCATGGTTATCATCTAATACACACTTCTTCATCTTCACCGCGGTTTGATTCAGACGACCAACCATCACGAAAGGTAATGGAGTTAGAGTATCCCCCAAATGAATACTCGTAGCAGGACCATGTTGTTTCGACTTTTTCTTCTTATTTGCAAGACTTTCCCATGTGACTACTTTACCCTAATCCTTATTAGAAGGACGGACATGGTTTTTCTTACTCCGACCATCTGAAAATGCTGACGCAACTAAGAGAGCTCTTGTATTCAGCGCATGAACAACACTGCCAGCCGATAAGTCTTTCCTTATAAGTCCGTCTGTAAAAAGAAGGAAATTAACTAGTAAGAAGATACATGAGGGTGCATATTACAAGTAAAAGAAGGGAAATATTTATACCGAAAGGTTTCTTCTTCTTATCCGCAGACTTTGCCTCATCGATGTCATGAAAATGTATTTTCGAGTTAGAAAAGGAAAGCAACATTTCTTTCATAGAATTTTCCGCATCGGTGAGGGCTTCATACGAAATAAAATAATCTCTAACTTTACGAGATACGTGATCAGAAGATCAAAATCGCCTCCTCCAATCAAAACAGACTATTGGGGGCAGAGAAGGAGAATAAACAATGCATAACTCATTATGTGTAAGAGGATAAAGGGGGAAAACCAGGAAATAATTCTCTTTGAAAATCTTCTTGTCAATATAAACATGGAAGAACTTGTTTCTCAGCCGATGAAGAGAAACAAGCCAACAACCTCAACTATTGGAAAGAGGATTAACTTCAAATATTCGTACAAGTATTGAAAGACCCTCACAAAGCCCTAGGTACACGATTAAAACTACGATAGAGGAATGCCTAAATAATCCAACACCTTTTTTTCAAAAGCAGTAAGTGGAAGTCATACTCCTAATTTCTCGAAGATGCAAGAGTAAAAAGGTTTGTAACACCGTTTGAATTTATGCACACCTTTTTATCTACAGGGATCACCAAAACTTTTCAATCCGAAGGAGACCCCACTTCAAAGGGAACCTCTATCCCCTCATCCTTCTGGGTATACTTTGAAGAAATTCCCAAATACTACGGGTCTACCAATGAATAATCTTCGACATTTGTCATTGCCATATCGATTGTATTCCACCTCTACATACAAACAAATCTAGTGGGTTAGTGGCGATGGATCGGTGATAGGGGACTGGCCCTCTAAAATGATAAAAAGAGGAAGAAAAAAAGTTTCACCCACTTAAAGAAAGATGCAACAACATAGACATCACGATGGAAGATTGAAGCTGAAACTAAGAAGACGACATTTAATGATTCAGATAAGCAGCTACCAAGGAGTAATAAGGAAAGCAAAATAACGGCCACGGGGGAAAAACCATTTTCTATAGAATCAATTAAATATTAACGATCCATATTAAAGGTATAATATTAATCCAAGGGCAGTCATTACGTTGCTCCACTATGAAGAAATGGAATTGACATAAGTGCTTAAATGTCCTCGATAGGGAAATCATTCCCTAGCTTATGCCATTGGGTTGTCGTATTAGGAGAAGGTATCAAAACGTTCTTAGGACAAGAAAGCATTTAATGCTCATGTCCCCCACTACTTTTCAATTAATTTCAAAGCATTTCAATTCCACACCACACTGGAACCCATCTTATAGGTTGGCCTGCATTATTTAAGTCTTTCCCTGACTCCTTCAGTGACTGACAAAGCCTTGGGAGCAACTGTTCTGGACCAGCCAAAGAATCAAATGACCAAGGCCTAATCCATCTCCAATCCACTTTACTCGATCCAACGTATAAAAACAATCCATACGCTACGAGAAATGTACAATCTCTGATCTCCACTTTCATTATACTCATCTTGAATCTTAAACTAACTTATGTGTTGGAGTGTTAACTATACAGGTCCACCTCGTGCCATTGTAAAAGAGATCAAAATCATCGTTCAAGATCATTAATTATCTAACTACCTCCATTTCTGATTCTTAAGTGGAGCTAGAACATCCATTTCTAATTTCCTAAAAGAACACATTATATTTAAAATCTTTGATTCAACTCTAAATCACCACATTCTATATATATTTTTCAAATATTTATTTGAATATATGTTGATCACTAGTTCAATAATAAAAAATAAATAAATAAATCTACTATCCACTATTATCTAGCTTATAAGTTATCTAATTTTGTTAATCAAATAAGAATCAAGTATTTTGAAAGATGAAAAAATCATAACTATATACAAAAAGATGTGAAGAGGATATCTATTTATAAAAAAAGAACACATCAAATATACTAACAACTTTTCTTAATATATCTATGAACGTACTTTAATTTATTTCCATCAAATGCAGAACTATATTAGCCATTTTCAACAATGTAAATGTATATAGTTTTCTGATATTTATTTATAAAATGATGACAATGCCAATGAGTTATAATTAATACACTAGGAAAAAAAGTATATCTCATAAGACTTGTGAAGCATGCAAATAAAGCAGACATGAGAGATGCAAAAATGTTTCATTTCTGTTGCTAATGCACCTCACTTGAATCTGCCTTTCTCTGTAGGTAAAAAGATCCAAGCATAACAGCAATGCCAGTGATGGCTATTGAGAAAAGAAGACGTTTAGTTGAGAAGTCATTCTGCGGCCGCCGCCGCTGCCTTCGTTGAACACGTTCGTTTCTTTCAGCTTGCATCATATTCCTTCAAACAAAACATGCATACATTAGCTTTATTTCAAGTTTACAATGCAAGTTTAAGCGACAAATTATCTATGAATAATGATGGTAGAGCTTGGATGCCACAAGAGAACAATTATCTAATGAAGAACTGACATAGACACGACACTGACTCATCATCGACATTCATAAAATTTTGCGAAAGTGAAATACTTAAATGTAAGTATATGTTTTAGTGTCATATCAGTGTTAGACACAGGTCACATATTTGATGTGAAGTATTTATACAGACAATTATCCAGCCTTGACCCTGGCAGCTGGAATGATGCAACTTAAGGGTTTCTGAGCTCAAGATCGCACGAGCACATGCAACATGCAATGAGCCATCTCCATCAAAAGTTTAAAGAATCGAGTGAAAGCACATTAGCAGTATTGATAGTATTTACATGCCCAATGAAAGCTTATAAATTACGCCTAAAAAATAAGAAATGGCAATAACCTAGTCGCATAAACAAACATATTTTCCAGAGCAATATGATAAGCCTATATTTTCATTTGGGATAGGCTATCTCGTTCAACTCCATTAGTCTTTAGCTTAAATCAGTTGAACTACCTAATAAACAATGTCTGCTCACTACTGGTGTATGAAAGGATGAATGGTAGGGAAGCGGAGGAAAAAAGAATGGAGGAGGGGCAGAATTGGCATAATAGAATGGACACCTGCAGAAGGAGGTTGGAGGGAGAGATAAGTGAATCATGCAGGGAGAATAGAGAGAAGGATATCTATAATATGAGGGGTAATTTTCAGAATAGACAGGCAATCATTTAGTGAGTAATTCGGTTTGTCAGGTTGAACGGAGAATCCCTTCTTCCTTGAGAAATAGGTTTAGTTTTTCATTTCCGCCGTTGCAAGGAATTTACACATCCATCCATAGTTTGTTTCAATTTATGGTCATTGTCTCTGCCATTGTAATAGCGAAGATTCCTTTGTTTTGAGGCTTCTTCAGTTTCAATATAATCGGATTTCGCAACGATAATTCTGATCCTATTACTATAGAAAATATAAAGAATAATCTTAAGATTGAAATTATATCACTGATATGAGATAGTGGCCAACATGATAAGTTGTGAATGATGATATTTCTTACCTTGAAGAGCCGATAGCTATATCTTGAATGATGCCATTGCAACTGGCTTCATGATTGCATCTTTCACGAAGTCTAACATATTTGTTACAAAGGTGGCACAGTTCTGTTCGATTTCCGCATACTTCCTGCAAGGTATGAATTACAAGCTAAAATTAATGCAAAAGAAAATCTGTGAATAAAATCTTGTAACTCGGAAGTTCTTCATGAGCACAACCTGATGCTCAGCTAGATCAACTGCTGGCAATGGGAATTCACAGAAGTCACAAGTGACAATCCTTTTAGGGCATTTTTCACCTTCATGGATATTAATAATATCACGATCCATTGTCTCACTGCACAATGAACAAGAAACCTACACAAATCCACATTTTTGTTTAGAAAACCAACATAAAAGTGGATTACACACCCCCTCGTGCCCAGGACTGAACATTTGGAACATAGACATAAATGGTGACTGGTCCGACAACAGGTGGTCCAACGAATATTAAATGAGGCTCTGATACCATGAACGTGGACATAAATGGTGGACAACCTAATAGCAGATTGCCAACGGATATTAAACAAGGTTGTGAGACCTTCTTAAGAATTGTGGTCGAGTCTAACTCAATTTTACAAAACTGGTTTGTAAGGTGAGGATTGCCCTCACTTATAAACTCATGCTCAGGCCATATATTGTCCGATCAGGGACTTAACAATAACACACTGAAAGGTTTAAGTATTGCGGTGAACATATCCAGATTCTATAGATTTATTATTTTAAAAAACCACAAAGTTCTCTTCTTTTTGTAATTGTTGCTCCATCAACTCGGGGAAACAAGAATAGCGTCTGCAATTGCCTAATAGCGAAACTAGGACAGTGTCACGAATTTCATAGTGGATTCATCAAAATCCAATACACTATAGTGCCACTATTTGACAACACCGGCCTGCAACCCTATTAATAAGAAATTTATGTTCCCTGTTTCTTCTTCATTTCCTAGTAACATGAATTCATACATTTATCAAAGTCACTACTTTCTGAAAAATTGAGCAGTGGAAAACAAAAAGGTAAAAGCGATGAAACACGGGCACAGACACGACACTACACTAACACATCTACACCGATAATTATTTGAAAAACTGAATAAATTGAACGTAATACGAGTGTCGGTGTCGTGTCCATATTGTTGTCCGACACTGACACGGACTCAAACATATTTTTTTAGAGGTGTCGGTGCTACAGACAGATAAAAGCAGCAAAAAGCTGACATACTGGTGCATGAGTTGTTAAATAGTGATCCTCAGCATTCTTTTTGGCAATCATATCACCACAAACTTTGCACTTTTGAAGGTTCCTTGAACAATGAGCATTATGCAAGTCAACATTTGCAACAGGAATAGCTCGATCACTGAAACCATCAAATCATAAACCAAATCATCATCATCAGATTTCAAACATTACAACAATTCACAATCTTCTAGTTTCACCTACCAAACAAATAATCCTAATTTCATATAAACACAAAACTATACATAGATTACATGATAATAAAATAATTGTAGAGAATATGAGGTGTTTTACCAGTGAGAACAAATGATAGTAGCTTGATCCAACACAGTTTCCATTGGAGAAGATAGAAAATGAAACTGAAAGTGTCAAATTCTCAGAAAGCAAGAAGAGAGGGTGGATTTTGATTACTAAATGAAAAATAGTTTGAAAATTGAAAGGAAAAGAGAGATCTTGAGATTCGGATTATACGAGGAGATTGATAAATTTTTGTTTGTGTTTTGGGACAGGGTTAGATTCGGTGGATCTTTTGGTTCTGTTTATGTTGGAATGATGGTTGAGATGACTTTTTCATTTTTGAGATTGAATTGATGATTGGATGCTTTTTTTTTTTTTAACTCTTTAAGATGGTTGGAAAGTGACATCAGAAGATGTTTACCATATGGGCAATTAGGGGGAGGAGATGCGAACCATTCAACATAACTCTTTCCACCATCGCGGGTATTAGTCCGAACTCACCTGAATTTGACCAAGAAAATTTATTTTTGATTGGATTAAGAGATAAATTTTAGGCTTTTCAAATTTGTAAAGTGTTGAAAAATTAGAAATAATTCAAGTTGCCTAAATTTAATTAGAGTTTGTTAGCTTAGTTAGTGTACAAGCTAGTTATATATAAATAGACTAGTTTATAAATCAGTTTGTAATAATTCAATTTAATAATATAATTCTTATTTCTTTATTCTCACTCTTTTTCTCCTCACTAAAGGTACCTCACGCACTAACAAATTGATATCAAGAGTTTCGATTATATTTTTGATTGTGTTTTCAAGAATCACACGTTAGAGATCGTGTTTCCCGGATTATGGGTTGTTGTCAATTAATCGTTGTGAAGATGAATGATACTAACATCATTCTGAATTCTCTTCCAACTCTTTATGGCGAGAATTGGATTCGATGTAGAAAACATATGCAATCTCTGTTTGGCTTTTATAAAACCCTAGAAGTGGTTACTAATGGTGTTCCTGCACTGGCTGCAAACGCAACTGACGCACAAAAACCTGCCCACAACAAAGCCAAGAAGAATGATTACAAGGTCGCGTATTCCATTCAAACGGCAGTTGATGCGATAAATTTCGACAAGATCTCTCATATTGAATCGGCGAAGGAGACATGATATTCTTGTCAAGTACTATGAAGGAGATGAGAAACTCAAGGTTGTCAAGTTGCAGACCTTGCATCGATAATATGAATTATTATCGATGGGAGAAGACAAAAAGATTGGAGACTATGTGTCGAAGGTGCAGAAACTCGTCCATCTAATGAAGGGTTGTGGTGAAACCCTAACTGATAAGATGATAGTTGAGAAAGTAATGTGTGTGTTGACCTCTCACTTTGATTATATTATAGTAGCTATTCAGGAATCCAACCAGCTTGAAACCCTAAAATTGGAAGACTTGGTTGGTTCGTTCGAAGCGCATGAGATTAGAATTGTCGAAAGAAGTGGAGTTTAAGACTCGATACAAGCACTGCAGGCTCAGTCATGAAAAAAATAGTGGTTCTAACAAATTCAAAGGCAAATTCGATAAGACTCAGGGCAAGAAGTCTTGGTCGAATCCCCACAAGAATAAGATCGATGACAGGGCTTCTGAATCCTCAAAAAGAGGGGAAGGAAATTCCTATCAGAAAGACAAAGAAGAGAAAAAAGGTGTGTGGTGCTATAACTGTGAAAAGTGGGGTCACTTGGACAAGCATTGTTGGTACAAGAAAGTCAAGGGATCGACAAAAGGCAAGGACGAAGGAGAGACCTTGCACGCCAAGATTTAGATGATTTTTGAGATATGGTGGTTATGGTTGCATTCGCAGATAACCATGTCGAGTCCAAGATCTGGTTCCTCGACTCTAACATCTCGAATCACATGACTGGTCGAAAGGAGTGGTTAGTATATTTCGACGAGTCGAAGAAGAGAAAGGTTAAACTTGATGATAATAGCTTGTTGCAAGTAGAAGATACTAGCGACATTGTTATTCAAATGAGCAATGAAGCTAAATCATTGATCAAATATGTACTTTATGCACCTGGCATGAAGTACAATCTAAGTGTTGGAAAACTGGTCGAAAAAGGTTTCTCAGTGGTCATGAAAGATGGAGCATTAGAACTTCTCAACATCCATAATAACTTGGTCTTAAAATCACATTTGTCGAAGAACAGGACATTTAAGACCTTGATCAATTCGACTGAGGTACATTGTTTGAAAACAGTTGTCGACTACAAGAATAGTTGGTTGTGGCATTTGAGGTTTGGTCACTTGAATTTTCGATCACTCAATCAACTGATTACTCAAGATATGGTAACTGGCATACCAAGTCTTGGGATTCTCGACAAACTCTGTGAAAGTTATTTAGTCGGAAAGCAATCTAGAAATTCTTTTGTTTCGACTATGCCAATGAGATCATCCTACATACTCAAAGTTGTACATTCAGATGTATGTGGCCCATTCGAAGAGAAAACCATTGGTTGAAACATGTATTTTATCCCGTTTGTCTATGAGTATAGTCGAAAACTCTGGATCTGCGTGATCAAGTGAAAGGATGAAGTGTTTGAAATCTTTAAGAGATTCAGAAAGCTTGTCGAAAACCAGAGTGAAAAGAAGATCAAAGTTCCGCGAACAGATAAAGGTGGTGAATACACGTCCAATATGTTTAAAGAGTTCTGTGCAGAAGATGGTGTCGATCATGAGGTAATTGCTCCTTATATTCCTCAACATAATGGAATTGCAGAAAGAAGAAACATAAATGTATTGGATATGACGATATGCATGTTAAACCAAAAGAGTTTTCCAAAATCCTTATGGAGAGAAGCTGTTTCGACTGCAGTTTATATTTTGAAAAGGTGCCCTACCAAAAAAAATTGAAGAACAAGGTTCCTGAAGAAGTGTGGAGTGGAAAATGACCACCAGTGAGTCATCTGAAGCTGTTTGGCTCTATGTATTACAAGCATGTTCAGGATGTTAGAAAAAGGAAACTTGATGACAAGAGTGAACCTATGATTCTGGTAGGATATCATAAAAATGATGTATACAGGTTATTCAATCCAATTAATGAGAAGATTGTGTTGAGTCGAGATATTATGATTGATGGAAATTTTTCCTAGGATTGGAATTCTAATGATGCAATTAACAAGCCATGAATGATTTATGGCATCGACGAAGAAACTGATGAAGTTGAAGTTGAAGAAATTTCCAATATTCCAGTCGAATTCAAAGCAATAGTTGACATTCCCAACACATTCAAATTCGAAGAGGGTGTGGCTAACACAAGTCAAAGACCTCAAATAACTAGAGTTCATCCAACAAAACTTCAAGACTATGAAGTGACTGGTGATGATGAAGTAACACCAGATGGAGAATTAATTCATTTTGCTTTACTTGTAGGTGTTGAGCTAATTAATTATAGTGATGCTTTAAAGAATAAACAATGGAAGTATGCTATGGTCGAAGAGTTATAAGCAATCGAAATAAATAACACATGGAAGTTAGTCGAATTGTCAACACACATAAAAGCTATCGAAGTAAATTTGATGCTAAAGATGAAACACAATGTTGATGGGTCGATAACAAGACATAAGGAGAGATTGGTAGCTTGAGGATTTCTTCAGAGAGCAGGACTTGACTACTCTAAAGTATTTTCACATGTAGCAAGAATGGAGACTGTTCGACTAGCGGTAGCCTTGGCATGTAAGAAAGGTTGGTCGACATTTCACTTAGATGTGAAGTCATCATTTCTTAATGGTCCTTTAGACGAAAAGGTTTATGTCACATAACCTCCATGGTTTGTGATTCAGAAGGAAGCGAGTAAAGTATGTAAGTTGCATAAAGTGCTCTATTGCATCAAGTATACACCTAGGGCATGGAACAAAAGGTCGACTCATGCTTAGTCGAATTGGGATTCGTCAAATGCAATTCTGAGTATGGTGTATATGTTCAGGTTGTGGCACAAGATATAACAATTATCTGCTTATATATCGATAAATTGCTGGTAACTAGAAATAGGTTGGAGAACTTTGTGAAGTTGAAAGTGCTGATGATGAAGGTATTTAAAATGTCGTATCTTGGAAAATTGTCTTATTTCTTAGGCATGGAATTTCAAATGTCAAAGCAATGTATGGTGTTGTATCAAAGGAAGTATGTCAAAGAGATACTCTAGATATTCATAACAGATGATTTGACTCCTGCATCTTTGTCTGTCAAATGAAATTTGAAGTTGGAGAAGCATGGAGAGGAAGGCAAAGTCGACGTAACTTTGTTTAAACAAATAGTTGGATCTATGAGGTATGTGTGTAATAGTCGACCTGATATAGGTTTCGCAGTTGGATTAGTGAGAAGATACATGAGTGAACTAAAGGTGTCTCACATGAAGGAACCGAGAAGAATTCTGAGATACTTAAAATGATCGATAAACTATGGAATACTATTTTGACGAGACTCTGAATGCAAAGAAGCTACAATTACTTGTTTTTTAGATGTTGATTAGTGTGGAGATAAGGAAGATCGAAGAAGCACAAGTAGTTATTTCTTTCAAGTATTTGGTGCCTCAATCTCATGGAGCTCGAGAAAGCAACCTGTGGTGGCATTGTCATCGTGTGAGGATGGATATATAGCAGGATCCTATGTTGCGTATCAAGAAATTTCAATCAGATATGTGTTGGAAGAGGTCGAGGTCGAAGTGAAGAAACCTCTAGTGTTGCAGATCAACAACAAGTCAGTCATTAATCCTGCAAAGAATTCAGTTTTGCATGGAAGAAGTAAGCATATCAAAGCTAGATTTAACTTCTTGAGGGAAAAGGTAAATCGAGGTGAACTTGAAGTAAGGCATTGCTCAAGTGAAGCATAGTTGGCCGACATTCTCACCAAAGGATTGAAGATCGAAATATTCCTGAATTTGAGAAATAAATTAGGAATAGTTCAGATCGACTATGACTAGCGTAGGTTTGACAAATTGGATTATGGAGGGTATGTTGAAATATTAGATATAATATTAGATATAATTTAAGTTTTGTAATCCAAGCCCAAGCCCAATTAGGATTTATTAGTCTAGTTAGTGTACAAGTTAGTTGTATATA